TTAATTGTAAAACCAAGAAATATAGATGAGTTATTTAATCTGAAAAATGTTGGGGGTGTGACTGGAGTGCTGTGGATCTCCGTGAATACTGCCCTGAGATTGGCTGTACTGGCACAAACAATATTTTCTTTCAAAACACATGTGGGAATGCAGGTTTATGTGATGGTGTCACCGGGAGCTTGGTTATACCCTGTGCCCAGCAGCCTTGTCTCCACTTTAGCTAAGAACCTTCATCTAGACATTAGCACTGCATGTTCTTAATGGCTTTGAGCTGAAGGAGGGTAGATTTAGTTTAAGTATTAGGAAGAAATTCTTTACTGTGAAGATGGTGAGGTGCTGGAAAAGTGGTTGTTCAGAGAAGTTGTTGATGACCCATCCCTGGAAGTGTTCTATGAAATTATTTGACCTCAGTGGGAATGAACTCGTAAGTTCATATCATTAAGGTTTTTGCTGGAGTGTGACCAGCATTCTTTAGGATTATATCCCCATAGCTGAATCCTCTATGTCCAGAGTTCAGCTTACTGAAGGTGGCTGAGGAGGTTTAGGTTCTTCCTGGGCATGCTTGGCTTCCCAGCACGACTACTGTGTGCTTAAATGAAAAGTTCCTATATTTTGATTTCTTACTCTGCCCAAAATAAGTTTCTTCCTTTGAGGTCAGTACAGAATGCTGAGGAATATGAGGTGCCTTGCTTTCTGACCTTATGTAGGATTATAAAATTAAAAAATAGTGTCTCTCACACCATTTACTGCAAAAATCTCCAGTAGCAAGTCAGATGTTGTGAATCTAAAAATTTATTCATCATGGATATTTGCCTTTTCATTTTTTCCTTTTTAATACTAGCAAAACAGAAAGGAAAATAAAACCTACAATTAAAATTAAGACCAGTTGCTGAAGCTGAAAGAGATATCACAATTGTAATATGTTAGAAGATTGCCTTGTTTTAGAGAAAGTGCTGATTAAGATCAAATTTGTCTTGAGTTTAAATTTTGATTGGACCTAAACTGAGGGGAGGAGGGTTTTATTTCAGACACTGCAAATGATGCATGTTAATATCTTCTGTTTATTGCGACTTGAAATTGCAGCATAGCTTTGAATTGCTGCCAAATCTACAGTTAAGACTCCCAAGTAATCACTATGATTATTCCAAGTCTTCATGGTAACAGTGGAAGAAGTCTGATACGCAAAGTACTGTAGCCTAAGCCATCAGAATCTTTTCATCCTTTGAGGCTCAGATTGTGATTCCACTCATAACAAGAATGGTTAGACATGCACACTGGCCAATCAGTCCTGAAAGGGAGATTACATAAATGGATTTAATTATGTTATTTTCAGATTTATTTGTTTTTTCTATTAACTCCTGCCTCCCTAACTTTTCCTGAAATGAGGAAAAGCATGACTTTTCTTTAGTTTTGGAATGGTTTAATTAATATGTTGGCATAAGGGAGTATTTTTTGTTTTTATTAGATTTTTTTTTTGCTTTCCTCCTTGTTCACCTATTACAAATACTATTTTTACTCGTTTTCATTACAATTCATCGTATTGTTTATCTCCTTGAAATATTTTTTCACCTGTGCTTAACTTGTAGGAGTTGTAGATTTACATCTGCTCTGAATGTATACACGTGTCAATGTGCTTTATTTAGCTGATGGGAGATTAAGTAGTGAGGTCAGAGATAAACAGCATAACGTAAAATTTACAATTTACTAAAAAATATTAGGAGAGTCTCACGAGGGGACAGATTATATGTAAAAAGTTGTTTAAAAGAAACTTAACTGAAATTTAGTTGTGCTTAAAATCTGTTCTGATTTTTGAATACACAGTTGTTCAGGGAAGTAGTTGTTTATTTTGAGTTAAAACCCTCAGCAATCACTGCTAGTCGGCTCTCCTGATAGTATGTCCCAGTTGCATCCCTTCATCAGTTGCTTGCAGGAGGGTTTTGCCACTTGTTCCACTTACAAAGTAAATAAAACTTGATATGGAAAGCATTTAATGTGGGTACAATATTTACTCTGGAGCATTTTCCTAAATAAGTAGTGTTAACCAGCAGGCAAGTCTGAGCACCCGGTGTGTTAGCTGTGGGAAGGGAATCTGTATGCCTGATACATAATGATCAGTTTAAACTATTGAAATATAAATCAGAACACGGTGTGAAATTGAAAAATATTTCATTAAATGAATTATGATGTGTGTGTGAATAGCAGAATAGTTAGGGACCCCGGCATATATACTTAGAAATCTGCAATCTTTAGACTATTTTTCTTCTGATAGGTTTAACTTCAAAAGACATATAATATTTTTGGAGGACAGCATTAGCAAATATCACAGTGTGTTTGCATTTCATTATAGCTAGCATTTTTCTTTTGACTTCAGTTTGTAAAATTATGTTCTCTACAAGATGTTGTTGGATCTACATTATGAAATTTAGACATGCCTATATTTAAGCCTCATTAACAGTGAAAACCACTCCCAATGTTATGAGTCTCATTCCTTTATTATTTGGAAGCCAATATTTTGGTATTTTTGCAAGTGTAAGATTTATAAGATCAGGGGAAAAAAACCAAACAAAAAAACAAAAAAAGAAAAACCAAAAAACCAAGACAATAGCACTGTAGTCCAGAGATTACTGCTCTGTACAAGTGCAGTTTGTGTCTTTTCTGGAGTCTATTCCATACTGATTTGTTGTCTTGTACACTTTTTTATAAATATTAACAGAACAGAATGAGTATAATGGCATTTACAGAAAGTGTTATTTGCACTAGAAGACTGTGTCCAAAGGTACAAAGCTTCCCATATGGAATTACTACCGTACTGCTTCTAGTGGTACAACATGGAAGAGCTTCTACATGCTGCAACCTAAGCATGAGGCTCAGGACCAGCTTTGTGCCAGCGTTCAGATATGAGGACATGCCTGGACACAAGGCTCGTCAGGAATTGTGGAGCTCACATTGCAGCCTTGCTTGTGGACAGAACCTGATCCTTCTGTCTGTGTTCTGGTCATGAACCAACAGGAGTGAGCATTATATAGCTCTCTCAGCAGGCAGATAGATTGGATTTATCTATTTCCAGGTAAAATAGATATTTTGAGCCTGAGTTGCGGATGGGAATCTGTCAAGGAAAGTACAGATCTCCACACTGGAGATAAGCATAAATGCTTCCTCACTCCACCTTGCGATGCAAGCAAAGGGACAGGGCAGCACATCACAGCCACATTCCATTTCAGGTTGATGCCATACCCTCTGCAGAAAACCTAATGAGTGTGTTACAAGAATCTTTGAATGTTGTATCGAGGCCACCAGCAGCTACTGGTGGACTGTAGATAGTAATAAATTGAACAGACCCTGTTTGAAGCACTTCCCAAGAGACAGGAAGCCATTGGATACAGTAGGAATAAGAGATGACCTTTGTTAAGGTGTCATTTACAGAGGCTTAAAAATGTTAGTTTCCTGTTCCTGCTCTTGGGTAAATTATATCATTAAAAAATTCAAGATTATAGCAACATAATGGGTTATTATTTTGCTCTTCTTACTGACCTAGTCACACAGTTGATGGAATTAGATTTGGCTTAATATATACTTTAGTGTGGGATTTCAGCAGTGGACCATGAACCCTGAAGTATGTGCAATTCTCTCTCTTGTTCAACAGTGTACTTCAATATGTGCCCCATTTGAGGTATACAAAAGCCCTTCAGAAATTAGTGAAACTGTGTATGTGCTTCAAGTACAAGTGCACACGCTTAAGTAACCTGTCAAATTGGAGCATCTACAAATGTTGTATTTATAGTTTTTCCCCCAAGACCAATTGTAGTAAAAGCTCATACAGCTGTCATATCTGTATAATTCATTTGAAATTTCAAAATTTTAACTTCAGCTTTAATTCAAGAAAGTGACTGCATAAAAATTATACTGTTTTTTCTAATCTCTTTCCTTCTCTGTATTCACATTATTGTAATTCTGTTTGCATAACTCATTGCTATTTATCTCTGTAAGCAATTTACAGTCATTGTATCGCAGTGATCAGTATTCTGTGGTGTTTTCTGCAACATTTGCTGAATATTCTAAATGCATTTTGATTTCAGGGGTTTTTTTTTTAATTGTTTTTGTAGTGTGAGCAAGAAAGAGTCCAGCTGGACTATGAAAATCCATTTTGTTCGCAGACTATCAGTTGATAAAGGCACATTTTTGAATGCCAAGTGGACCCGTTTGATCTGGAAAGACAATCATAAATGGATCTTCCTATTAGCAGTTTTAGAACCATGCCATAACATGCTGACCGACTGTGAAAGGTGAAGAGGTTGAAAAGAGTCAAGTTCTGACTGAATTATGTGGGGAGAACTTTGTTGTTGAAAGCTTGACATGAAGGTCACACAAGGACACAGCTCAAGATATTACTTTGTTTGAGTCAAGACATAATTTGGACCTGAGAAAGAAATGCAAATAATTTATTGGCATATTTTTCTGCATCGAAGTGAATTGCCTTTTTATCCGAAATATGTCAGCGAGAGGAGAATGGTGAAGGAGTGGGGAGATATTATTAACTAGTTCTTTCTCCTGAGTCATTCACCTAATATAATTATGGCAATGATTATTTTTACATTTAGTAGCCTCACTAGACAAAGAGGTGTATTTATACAGACATGTTAAAATGAGTCATTACTAGCTGGGGTTTTTTTGTTAATCTGGAGATTTTCTCATGTGGCCTCATGAACCTTTCAAAAGCACCAAAATCCAAGGCATTCATTCTGACTAGAGATGAGGAGCATGATCAATTTTATGTAATTTGCAAGAGAAGTTATAGAATTTAACATTCATAGATTTGGTCAGGCAAGATTAATAAGATCTTGCAGTCCTTAACTCTTAGATACTTTTGAGTTTCTTGTCCACAGAATTTTGGTAGCTAAGGTATGTACAGAATGTGACATTTACACAAGAAAAATAGGGCTGTGTTTTCTGTTATAGAGAAAACAGTCTTCTGAATGTATGTTGTTGGTTTTGTCTTTTAGATAATTCTTGTAAGTTCTTCCCACAATGACCGTGACCAAAGCCTTTTCATAAGCACAGATGAAGGAGCCACTTTCCAGAAACAACCCATTACTTTCTTTGTGGAAACCCTCCTTTTTCACCCAAAAGAAGAAGATAAAATACTTGCTTACACCAAGGAAGGCAAGGTAAAGCTTGAAGATACAGCATTTGTTTGAAATATGTTACTTTGTTAAGAAGACACAAAAACTTTTAATATGCTGATTAGTGTTGGGTTTTATGAAATACCAGTTGCCAAAAGGGAATCATATAGTGGTTTTGAGCTTTATTTAAACATTATTATTTTCATGTCCAAATCTTTGTTTTTATGGTAATTTCAATCCTGGCATTTTCAGTTGATATGGATACTGGGAATATTTACCCTCCTGCATAATATAGTTAAATAATACTTCTGAAATGTGCTCCTCCCTAGAAAGTGAGCATAAAAAATTTATGGTATAGTAGAAAGTTAATGAAGCTAAAATAGTGCCTCCAAAGGCTGTTCATGACATGTAAAATAAAGTCATACAAAATAAACTGCATACTTGTACAGCAGAATAGGATTTGGGAAATCAGTAGAAATGTAGACTAATTGTCTCTCTTATGATGTGTTTATACCACCATCAGATTCAGGAGCTGTTTGTGTTCATAAATTTTGAACCGTTTTCAGACTTCTTCTGGTTAAATTGTAAAGTCATTTTCTGGATAGGTTGGGCTAAGCACTGGGGAGTGTGTAGCTCATCTGTGCTGGTTTAAAGGTAAACCAGCAGGGGAAATGAACTCAACTCAAAAGAGAGATTATAAATCAGAATGACAATTTAATAAAATAATACAATAAGTACGATTATACAGACAAACAATTGGTTTTAACCCCCAAAGCCCAAATATATAACCCAGCAGCCTGGAGCATGAACAGAGTGGTGTTCTTTGGGCCCCCTGAGTCCAAAGGAAAAGGGGAGGGGAAAACCTGTTGGTGAGAGTGCTGTTGCAGTCTGGTCAAGAGTGGTGGTTGCAGTCCAGTCGAGAGTGATGGTCTGTAGTCTGGTTGAGAGCGGTGATCTGCAGTCTTGTTGAGAGCAGTGGTCTGCCATCTTCCTGTGGATCCCACGAGTGGTTAAAAAGGTCCCAAGACTCCAAGATTATATATCCTCCAGTTCAGGCAGGAATGCTCAGTACCTCCCTCAGGGTGGGGGGTTCCTTAATGGGCGTGAGGACAAGAGCAACTCCTATCTCGCAGGCCTCTTAGCACCTAGTTTATAGCCTGAGGAGTCAGGCTCTATGTGCAGATGGTGTAAATGGTTCATTGATAACAGTTTCTGGGAAATGGCATGGAAGGCTATAGAATACACAGTTTTGGGTTACACCCATCCAGTGATGAACTGGTCTCAGCTGTCCTAACTAGAACATCATCTCATCTCCTTTTCACAGTGCCAAAACTGCAGCTGCAAACTCACTGTAATTCTGGTCCTGGTTGTGGTCTTGACTCACCTCTATCATTACTCCTGTTTTAAAGTGGTCAGACTTCACAGAAGGTGTATATTTAAGTGATGACATTAGTCAGAGAAATTTGCATATGCTGCAGCCAAATACTGCACTAATTCCAGTGGTGTTAGATCATCCTTTGGGATATTTCCTGGGATATAAGTTAATAGCTGATCCCAAACCAATTCATGTTTACAGGCATTTGCAAATAATGATAGAACTAGAATAAAAAACAGAACAAACCAAACTAAGTCATAGATGATACTAAATATTTTACTTAGCTTCAATTTGATATTGTAACACAATTACAAATAACTTGAATGCATATTATGTAAATAAAATACTTCAGGGAAGCCTGAAGTCATAGAAAGTCTGTGTTATGAAAACCTCTTTTTCAATTTGGCTTTTTTTCCTGATGGTAGATATAATTACTGAACTCTACATAGTTACAGATTGGCAAAACACTGAAGTATAAGAGTCCGAAGTGTATTGAAAAGCTGACCAGCCCAGAAGTAGCTGGAAGTATTTGTCAGAAGAGAGAAGGTGGCAGAAATACAAAATGAAACATGTGGTTTGTGTTTTGATGAATTAGGCACGTTAGGGAGATTGTTGGGCATTTTAGGCTTGGATAGTCTTCTGAAAGGAGTGATGCTGTTATTTTCCATGCTTAAATGTGACTGGACAAAAAACCCCTACAAAATATTCAACAAAAGATTGCTCTGCAGGAATAGCAGGAAGAGTTAGGTAATCTGATGGGCTTTTCTCAGGCTTTCAATATGACACTAAAAGGAGTCAACCACGAAGACTTACTTAACAAGTCCTGCATCATTACCTAGATGTGTATGAATGAAGGATGCCTTTGACTGTAACTGGGTCAGTAAACTGCTTACATTTTGTATAAAATCTGATTTACTTGACCAAGAAGGGAGAGGAAGATAAAATGATGTTGGCATAGGAGCTGAAAATCAGAATTGCCACTTGACACAAGAAAAGGTCACTGTACTAAAATCAATGATCTTGAGAGATAGTGTTGGTCTGAAGTTGCCCTGAGGAGACAAATGTACTCTAGATTTTTGAGTTGAGTAACTTTACCTTTCCTAAAAGAAAGTAGTATCAGAATGTAAAACAATCTAAAACTCAGGAGAAACCATTACCTTTTGTTACTCAAATGGTTTCTTAAAAAGGCACTTTGGAGACTACAAGGAATACTGGACTAAGTCCTTCATAAATAGCAATCAGCAAGGCTTCTTTGTCTACTGCAGCATCATGGCCTTTTTCACAACTTTTGATTCTATTTAGGGCTTATTTCATAGTGCAAAATATACGTTGTTCATTCATTCAGAACCCTAGATTCTGTTTAAATAGAACTCTAACCTCTAGTTGACACTATAAATTAATGCAAATCCAGTCAATGTTGTTGGATTAATCCATTTACTGCCTCAAATCTATATGCTCTTTTTCTGGCTACTCCTCAGTTATAATGAAGAACAATCAACTGTTCGCTGAGTCTACATAAATGTTTCTAGATGTTTTTTAAACCTCGTCAGGGATGCTGTAGATTTTAATTGTTCATTTGGAAGCTGAAAGGATGAAAAAATGGCAGAACATAAAAGTATTTCCAATTTTTTTTTTAAATATGATTCCTCACATTTAATACATGGGTGGTAATAAACAGAATTACAAGATCTATTAGATGTATTTGCTGAAGCCAAAGATTTTAGCTGTCCACTGATATAACTGTTTTCACCCTGTGTCTGATCTCATTTAGTAGTTTTATCATATGTCCCTGAGGAAAAACAGAACGCATGGGTCACTTTTTTTTACTATAGATAGTTCAATATGCGCATAAGTTAGTTACATGTTATTTTTTTATTTATTTCAAATACTGTGTCAGTTAAAATTTTGTTTCAGTTTGAATATGACTTATTAGTCCTACTTCTCTCTCCCTTACAGTAAGATTACCAGAACTTCCCCTGCAGTAAGCCAAACTGTTCATTCATAAGCTCCCAGACTTTGATCTTAAATGTGTGTGTAAGGAGGTAGTTTGGGTTTGGGGGGTGGGAGGAATGTGTGTTTGATTTAGTATTTTTTGGCCCCTACTATACAGGCAACTGTTCTAAAGGCAAGAATCTTCTCATTTTCTTCTGAAATTCATTGATGACAAAACTATATCCCTTTGTTCACGTGCCAGTGTTGTCCTTTATCCTAAAGAGCATTTTGCCCTCTTGCCAGGAACCTCTGAATTCTTGACTTTCTTTGCAGCTTAGATACCAGGGTTAGGGTAGCACATTAAGTGATCATCTCTCCCAGATTTAAGCAGTCTGCTGAGGCAGGTAACTCGATGAGCGGGGACCTTTTAGAAAGATGGTATAACCAATGGTTATCTTTTCTGTATTGCCTGTGCTGACAAATGTTTGAAGAAGTAAGCAGCTTAGGTTCTTCATCCTGCACAGTCTAGCCCATTCAAAGCCTACATTTGTCCCTCCCAGGAGGTTGCTCAGAGGAATATGCTATAAAATACCCTGGTTGCATCAAATCCTAACCCACATAATAAAGCTAATACCAGAAACGTAGGCAAATCAGGAGCCTGGCTCTGCAGTCCCATCATTTAGCTCTGAGGATGAAGAGTTCTTGGTCCTTGATCATTTCTCTGTGCACTGACTGGGTCAATGCTAAAGTAAGCAATCTGAATCCTCATTGTAGTTTCCTACTCTTAACTGTGGTCTACCAGCTGTAATTGAGTATGGAATGGAAGAAAGCCATTGGAAATGCAGAAATACTCTTTTATCTCTGGGAAATACTCTTTTCTCTCTAGTTTGAACTTCAGTAAATTTACCCATAGAGTTTGTGCTAAGTTACCTCAACCTTCATCTTTATATATGTTAATATTGCTGGGTTTCTGTAGTAGAACATAATACATAACAGTGGGGTTTTTTTCATCTCTTGTCATTGAACCTGTCATTTTAAAACAAAAGCATTCCTTACTAGTCCTTATAAGACACTTTCCCCCAGAACAATCAGTGTCTGAACTGGTGACTTATTCCCACACCAGAGAAGAAGAGTTTTACTTGCCTTTTTTTCCTTATTAGAGATATCAAGAGAAAACCCATCTTATGTAAATTGGATCAAATAAGAAATGCATGCAGACAGCGGGGGGCTTTAAATCTATCTTATTAGAAGTCTGATAGAAGCTTCCTATTTTAACTAGAGGAAACATAATGAAGGCAAATGCTAAAGGGGGGAGATTTTTGAATAGCTATTTTATATCCCGCTTTAATCTGGGGGAAAACAACTTTCATCTGCACTCTATATCCATCGATATCATTAGCATTTGTTTTCTTACCAGGGGTGAATTATTCATATGGAAGGTGGAGCTGGAGTCCTCCCTGTCCAGGCCATCTTCTGCCTCTCTGCTGAGGGAACACTTCTCATGGGCCACAAATTGGTATCCATGAAACAATCCCTTAAGTACATCTCTCCTCATCAAATCTCCTAAGCATTTCTCTAATATCTTTTGGTCCTATTTTAGCAGAGTTTTAAATCCATTGACTTCCTGGCTTAGTATTTTTGATGGCATAAAGGGAACATTTTTTCTTTTTTGGTCAATGAATGGGAAGAGAAGTGCCCTTCTACCATCCCTCTTGAGTAACCATGATGATGTAAAAAAGAATTTGACCCCAGCTGAGCTGTGAATTATTTTCATGGTAAATAAGAAGACATTGTCACGGAGTTTTTTTAAATTATAGATTATATTTCAAAAGATTTTCTCCATGAAAGGTTGTTACTCTGAAAAATATTGTACAGAGTTCCAGGTAATGTTTTTGGGGTTTTTTTGGTTTTTTTTAATTGGTGTACAATCTTTCATTTAATAGTGACATAGCACCTGTCTTTGAAGATGTATATTAACAGTTTCCTATCATCTCATTTTTTTTCTTTTTTTCCTTTTTTTTAGGTCTATGTATCTACTGACTTGGGGAAAAAATGGATCCTTCTGCAGGAACGAGTTTCTAAAGATCATATTTTTTGGTAAGTAGTCTGTTATTTTCCAAATAATAAAATGAAGAGCAAAAGTATTTCATTCTAATCAAGAAAGATGTTTCCAGAGATACTAGTGGGACAGTATGAGCCCTGTCATCTTTTGCAGATTATGTTGGTGTTTCTGTGTCCTCTATTGCAAATTCATACCAATGATCATACCAGATATCATCACATGGAAGGGTTATAGGTCTGGATCGATGGAGACCAAGATGTAAAGAAAGCTGCAATATTGAATGAAACTGCTCTGCATTTACTGGTGAAACTGATCTTTAGAAAGGAGAGCAGTCTTTTTGCAGAGAAAAATCTATAACATTTTTTTAAGAGAGATTGGATCATACGTATTAACTGGAGTCATATAAACACTTGCACTAATAAGGAAACTGGTGAAAAATATTTGTCCTTTATTGAGGACACATATATCAAATTATTTTATTTTCAGCTTAAATATTGTGCAGTCTCACTAAATGTTTAAGAAGTGATTTAAACAGGTTGACAAAATGTTTGAAAAGTAAGTCAATGCCCTTTTTTTAACAAATGAAATTAATTTGAAAAGTGTATAGTTTCTCTTACACCAAAATTAAACTTTTGATAGTGTTTTAATTAGTTTACTTTTAAAATTGGTCCATCTCACACTCAATTGCCCCTTTCACATTTTACTTCATTGCATAAGTATGTATTTTTTATTACAAGAATAAGTTATAATCTTCTAGACACTTGCATTTCCTAAATGACTTATTTTAGTTCAGGTCTCTTAAGTACCATGCAAAAGAGTAAAATAATCGTTAAGGAGTAACACCATGGGTCATGTCCACCTTATAACCAATTTTTCCCTAGCAAGATTATATAGGATGTAAATCATGAGGGCGTGTGGTTATCTGTCTTTAATAATTTCCTTTTATAAATGCATTGAGTCTGAAAACAAATAAAGTCATTAACAGGTAGAAATAAAAGTGGAAACCTCTCTCTCATAGGCTTGTTTATTGGTGTTTTTCTTCCCTGACACTTAGCATACTTAAATTATGAAAAATATAGCAAACCATTGAAATATGTGTCAGTTTTTATCCAGCTCAATCTGTCATTGTTCTCTGTATCTAAGGGTTAAAGCCAGAAAGTACACGTTTAATTAGAAGTCTGTATTTTGCTGTTTCAGAATCCTTACGTTTCCTTATATCATACAGATACAATCAGGAAAGTGTCATGGATCTTTGATAGGAATAATTCCAATGTAGTACTTCAAAGTTGTGGTTGTTCATAAATGTCACATTCTTCACAGATAGGAATAATAAATTCTAAGAGTCTGTACATTTATAGGCATTAGATATATTTTCTAGGCGGTTGTTTTCCTCTTTTATATGTATAGACCATACTGATTTCTCTCATGTACATCTCATGATAAATGAGGGCATGTCTCTTGCTGATACTGGCTGGTTGTGCCAAGAACATTTGACTGGGCAGATCCTTAGCAGATGTTTTTTCTTTGATTTCAATTGAGCTTTGCCACTGATGTGAGTAATATAGCCTAAGATTTTTATTGCAGTCTGGTAACTACAAATATTATCAGTCATAATATTTTCATGCGTTTTGTAAAAACAATTTTTTTCCTGTGCTTGCAGAAGCAGCCAAATCTTCATGCGCTTCATGAAAAAGCTTTTTTTTTACTCCATGAAAATATAAATACAATTAATTTAATGGAATATGATATGTATCGGTATTAAGGGGAGGTCAGTAGAGACAGAGTATTTGAAATATTTACGTTCAGATCTTATACTGTAGGTTTATAAGTAATACATTAATATCATCTTCTGGGGTTTATTTGTTTTTCAATTGTTCTCGATCATTTCTTAAATAGCTTTGCAGATTTAATATGTGGCATTTGATTTTTCATGGTAGTGGAACTAATGAAAATATTATTGGTATCAATGGAAAGTGTATTATACTATCTCTAATTTAGGAGCACAGGATATTTGCTTCCTATCTGTGATACATTGTGCTCTTTTCTAACAGCATCCTAGCTGTTTTCCCTATTTCTTTCATTTATTCTTTTGGAAAAGGAAGTTGACTAATCCTTCATAGGAGTTTGCCTTCTCTCAGCGTCTTAGAAGGCAAAGCAGGCTTCCCAGAGAGGTGGTTGATGCCCCAAGCCTGTTCAACAGGCATTTGGACAACACCATTAACAACATGCTTTAACTTTTAATCAGTGCTGAATAGGTCAGGTAATGGGACTAGATGGTTGTTGTAGGTGCCTTCCAACTGAAAAAGTTTATTCTATTCTAAAAACAAAAGTGCTGTAAGGCAAAAGTATGAAAGGCAGATTTGCAACTAAAGATAAGATAATAAGTACACTGTGTTTAAAAAAAATGAATTATTTTGTGTCAATGTTTAGAATATATTTCTTTTTTTTGTGTAAATATTAATTAGGAAGATTAAAATCCCCCCCTTTTTTAACACTGAATGTTTAATGTTATTTTTTTTCAATTTTGAGAAGATTCTTTTCCTGTAAAATTAAGAAACTTTGATTACTGTGACCAGTTTTACTTCAGCATACAAACTCCACTGGCCCCGGTGTGACAATTTCTGTTTAAGGGATGTTATAATACCCATCACTTATAAATATCTTTTCCAGTTCTTGATGCATTTTTAGGAGGGAATGCAAAGAGATACGACCTATTCCAGCCAAACATTAAACACCTATCACATGATATATAACTGGGTTTGTATACGAAACCCATTTTAAAAAAGGAGTGACTATTATGTGGAAGAAGAAAGAGTAGTGCAGTTTGGCATTCCTCTGGCTCTGCTGCTATTCTTCTCAGTCTCCAAGGCTTATGCACCATTGAGAAATCCTTTTGATTTCTCAAAATAGAACTTAGTAATACATAAGCAAAGAATAGATTGTGAATCAGCTGTCTACATCAGCACTAATATACCCCGGGACAGTAAGTAATGAATTGGTAATTACCAGAGAATTAGGCCTGACACATTTCTTTTATGACTCTGTCTAGAGCCTTAGGAATGCTTTATCCCCAGCTCACTAGGATATGTGGATCCTATGCTATGGGTATCTGTTACTCTTATTTTTAGCTCCAGGTTCTCTATTTTCATGAAAGGTGAGAACATAAAAATAAAAAATGATGAGTTTATTTGGGTAGAGTAGTCGTTCTCAGGAGACCAAAGTTCCGTCCTCATCCTGAAATCCCATACGGATAATCCTTCACAGTCATACCCGTTTACGTCAAGCGTAGTGGGTTCCTGGCTGTTCAAGTGTCAGGTGAAAGAGGGGATTTCAGTGATGTTATGTCCTGAAGGAGAGAAATGCAAAGAGGATTTCACTGAGCCTTTAGCATTGAATTTCATGTGAGAGGCTCTTGTGTGGGAAGCCAAGAATCTGTGTGGACAGTCATTCTTAAGTTTGACTTAATCACTTGCAATGGGTTTTGTTTCTGTTTCTGTCTGTGTGATGATGTGTGTGACTTATTTGATTTATGTGGCAAGCTTTGGTAGCAGGAGAGTTCAGGACTCCTGTGAGAAGAGACCCGGAGCTGTCTCCGTGTGAGACAGGGCCAGTTCCAGCTGGCTCCAAGAGGGACACGCTGCTGGCCCAAGCTGAACCTGTGAGTGATGCTGGTATTGCCTCTGTGATAACCTGTGTAACAAAGGGTAAAAAATGCGCAACAGTTGTGAGAGAAAGGTGTGAGAATATGTGAGATGAACAGCCCTGCAGACACCTAGGTCAGTGAAGAAGAGGGGGGAGGAGGTGCTCCAGTGACCAGAGTGCAGGTTCCCCTGCAGCCCTTGGTGAAGGCCATGATGAAGCAGGCTGTCACCCTGCAGCCCATGGTGGTCCATGGTGGAGCAGATGAATGCCTGAGGTAGACTGTGACCCTATGGGAACCCCACACTGGAAGAGGCTCCTGGCAGGACCTGTGGAGAGAGCCACACTGGAGCAGGTTTGGTGGCAGGACTTGTGACCCACAGGGGACTCACACTGGAGCAGCCTGTTCCTGAAGGACTGCATCCTGTGGGAGGCACCCATGATGGAGCAGGGGAAGAGTGTGAGGAGTCCTCCCCCTGAGAAGGAAGTAGCAGCAGAGACATGGTTTCTAAAAAACCATATGCATAAGAAAGGGCTCCACAGTATCCTTCAGGAGATCAAATACAGGCCCAAATGGAAACATAGGTGCCCTGATTTCCCCGTTTCTCACTGTGTTTTATTAAATGCAACTTTACAACATAACTGAGGTTAGACATACACAAAGGCTGCACCAGGGTGGTGGCAATTCCACCTCTGTGCCACCAATAGCAGCTTTCTTGCTGCTTTTCTTCTGCAGGATAAGTACTCAACTGTTGGTGATCCAGTGATTTAAGAAACAGAAAACTAATCCCGCAAAAAAGTTCTAAAATTACATTCTGCAGGCCTAGTTTTCCCAAGAGGCTCAATATGGTGTCAGACAAGCCCAAGGGAGATAATGGAACCTTGTGTTCACAGGAAAGGGAAGAAGCATATTGAGGTTGCCTGTATTTGCAGCACCCTGCAATCAAGTCAGGCTATTTTAATTCTGAAGTGTTATAACCACGCTATTACATGATCTGAAGTGCTGGTATGTATTGCACTTGCTTTATCCAGCACAGTATACTTGGTCAAGAAATATTTCTTTTCCTAGAGGAAGATTTGTCTGATCTAAAAGTTAGTCTGAATTTCACTGGAAACTCAGTGGTTGAATGCAAAACACTAAAACAACATAAACCATAAAACCCTGAATTTACCTAAACAAAACAACTAAATAAAGAAATGGTCTCAGACTGCTGAGGTGTGAACATTTTCACTGCAAAGTACTGTGAGAAAAAGAGTGGGGGAATTTTAACCAAACCAAAAACCCTACCAAAATTGAGAAAAATAGATACTTCCTGAGAAAGTGCTTGTTCTGTTGGAGGAAAAAAAATTATGCTGAAACGTCAACCAAATAGGAAGAAACTGCCAGATTATTAGGGTCTATTGCATCTCTGCTTTATAAGACAGAAAAAGTCCTGTCCTAAAGCCAGCCAGGTAACTGTAAAATTGTGCTTGTGAATGGATGTGTGGACACAGTCCTCACACTGGTACAAAGCATTTGTGTTCTGTTAGTAGCAATTTTGTAAATGAATATGCAAAAAAATGATGTTTTGCATTTCTCCCTCAATATGAAAAAAACATGTAATCGAGCTTTCTGTTGAAGTGGATCATATGCTGTTTGTGTTCCTGTATGTACCTTGTTTGCCCTTCATTTTAAGAAAGCTGTATCATGTGAGCAGAGGGACCTAGATTGTGTTTAGCCTGCAGAGTATCATACAACTTTCTCTTTGGTTCATGATTTAAGCACAAGTGAAATAACAGTATTATCTTTTAAGTGCTGTTGGCAGAGGAGTCCACTGAAATGAGATTAGTTTATTCTTCAGGGATATAGCTTCAAATTTTCTATATTAGTTATACTCTCTTCTGAAGATTTTCCTAGCCACTGTAATAGATTTGGTCTTTTTTTCAATAAAAGAAGAAAGGGCTATTCCTAAGTGTTTGTAAAGCTGGATAAAGGAACTTTGGAGTTCAGAAACTGCTCAGTAGCTGACATTCAAAAGTAGACTTTGAGGGTGTAATGTCTTCATTGAGTAAACAGAGTCTCTGCTGTTAGAGTTCATCAGTACAATTAGAATAATGAAAAACACATGTTGTAGTTTTTAAATATCCTGCTTAATTTGTGCCTTTTGAAATGGATAAACTGCACGTAGAGCATGCATCTCAACTCCAGAGGTGCACCACCATCACTCACTTAGACTCGGGTAAAGTTAGACATCTACAGGTATAGCTTAGTGATTATTCCTTTTGGCAGTCTGGTGACTTACATCTTTGCAGGGTTGCCTTTAGATTAGACAGTTCCCAATGCAAGTTCAATGGGACAAAGTAGAAGCAAGACTGGGGACACAGAGTGGAGTGATATAATCTAGTAGAGCACTGAGAAGAAATGCTTGTCAAACTGCAGTATGGACCTGTCATCCTAAACCTTCTTTATAGGCAGTGGACACTGTGGGAGGTGATCCGGCTGGTTCAGGAATAAAGGAGTTGCCTTTTAGAGGTAACTTTGCCTGGATAGTAAAGGATAATTTTAAAAAAGGGGTAGGGGAAATGTCTGAACTTCAGGTGGAAAGAGGTATTATTTTCCTGGCTGGGTTAAGGCAAAAACCCTTTCTTGTGAGTTATTGACATCTACTCAAATAAAAGTCTAAAGAAGAAACGTAGTCTGGGTTGGAAAGTTTTGTTCTGAAATGTTAGTTAAAACAGATCAGCTATATCTTCTTGCTCTAAAACATTACACTGGAAACAAGATTAGAATCTACTTGTGTCAGCTGCCACTGTTAGGAGGAGCACAGTAGAAGGGAGATCATTGTAATTCTGGTCTGCTAAAAGAAGGATCAGAAGGCAAAGATATTGAAAAATACCTCAAACTTTGTTTATGAAATCATGTGTGATATATAATAGATGCAAGAGGTAATTTCGGAAATACCCAAAAACTTCCTTTTCATTATTGATGCTTGTTAGCATGTCAAGCTGAGCCTTAGAAAATTCAACCTAAAAATTTCCGTGGTTCAGCTGCATGAGGTCCAACACAAAAAGTAAAATATTCAGCAAACATTTTTTTCCCTCAAATTGCTGACTGCAGAGTTGATAGCAGGTTTGATTTGGTGTTGTGGATATCTAGAAAGATAGATAACAGCACACACAGCAAAAAAGTTCACACATCCCTTTCCTCTGCTTATATATATTCTTATCATACCTCACTGATTCTAAAATGTTATCTGACCTACTGTATTGCCTCCAAAATGCTAAAATAGTTTGTGTTTGAGAGACCATATTCTTATTAAATACAAGATTTTTCCATGCATTTATTAAAAAAAAATAATCCCACTGAAGTTTCCATGACATTTTATGGCTTGGAGAGGCTTATCCCTCACCCTCCCCATCCTTTTTTGTACTGATCATTTATCTTATTAGGGGAAAACAGGATATGTGATTATTTCTGGTTTTTATGCAGCAGTGGAAATCATCCAGTCTTGTCCGCCTGGACTGTGTTCCCAAGGAGCCACCAATTACTGAGTCTGAGTTTTAGCTGCCCCTCATAAATTAATGCTATTAAAATAATTAAGCAATGATGTAATTTCAATCCAAAGTATAGCTTTATTGCATTTGATTGTTAATAATTGTATCAAAATTATCATTTTCTCTTAAGTATCTTAATGGGTTTTTTTAATATCTGCATCCAGCTGCACTTTATCACTCAATGTATCTCCTTTGCCTGTCTTCAGCTCACATCTGCTGACTCGATGGACTCTTGCCATGCCAGTGAAGAGCCTTGGGAAGAGTGATGTGACTCTGGGAGTGGGCTGGATTCTGCCTCACTTAGTGACACACAAATGTCAGCTGAAACCTTTCTCTGCAGAATCTGCCTGACTAATGGCAATAGAAGGGCCAGAAAAAAGCACAGCTGTGGCTGCCATTCCCAGGCTGGGATGGAAGCCCTGAGGGTAGAAAACTCATCTTTTGGCTGAGCATATTTGACATGAGAGATATTAGGAGAAAATCAGCCTGTATTCCCATTATAGCTTTTCAGAGTTAGACTGCACCTTGATCAATTCTGTCTGAATTTCCTTCTCAGGATGTTTTTCTCGAAATTATTCTTCACTTTCTTTGTCAAAGCGGAATCTACTCTTCTCTTGAGTATACTAACCAAAGATGTATCAATTTGTTATGGAAACTGTGTGTCAAGTTTAAGATATCTCTAATAAGAAAGGAATCTTAAGTGTTTTTTAGCATTAAATCTGCTTTTTAGTCTCAAATGTCAAATGTAATTGTAAAAAGATGCTATAGTGCTTGCCAGAGCCTGTGACTGTGTGCATATCTCTGTGTGTACATATATCAATTCATTATTATGAAGGATTTTTTCCAATTTCGTACCTTTTTCTGTTTTGTTTTTTTTTTTTTTTTCAATTTACCCTATTTTTATCCGTAGGTTAGTAAAAGAGATTCTAAAGAAATTTAAGGAAAACATTGTCAAGTACAGAAAAAATAATTTCCTTCTAGATGTTAGTAATGGGACATTATAAATGGGGTTTATTTCAATTTCCCAGCTAGAATGTTAAAGCTGGTTAGTATGAAAGCCTCTCTTTTCTTCCATCCACATAATTACTATTCTGTAGCTGGCTCTACATAATTTAATTATATTATGTTCTCAGGGCCGTTGCTGGAGTTGACGCAGACCCTGATTTAGTTCATATGGAAATCCAGGACCCCAGTGGAGGTATGCAAATGAAAATGTTATCAATTGATACCCTAGCGTATAGTAATTTCTCTTTGTTTTAGGGGTACTTTTCAGATTGTTTTTAAAACTAGTCAGAAGAGAAATTGTACAAGTCAGATGCTTTCTCTGTTTATATGTAGTCAGCAAAACTGCCCCGTTATATAAAAATATAGTATAATTTAAAATCTACTTGTTTTCCCCTGTAAGATGAGTTGACGTCAAGATGTTATGCTCCGTTGAAAATGTCCATTAATGGTGCAATTTATTCTGGCAGTTAAACATTGAACAGTTTTTCCCAATTTGCAAATAAAACTGGCAATGCAGTGTTAGTGCTGGGTGTCTGTTTATGTGAATCATTGCATATGTCAGGTCTATTGCACTAACCACCAGCTCCCAGAATTTCCTCATGTTACAGTATCCAGTATACTTTGAGTCTTCAAAAGGAAAATAAATGAAAAAGCAGACTGGTAGTCAGGATGTGCTGTACTGAAGAGTCACCATGATTCCAAAATCTGGTGTAGTTTCTTGTTACCAATCGTACTCTTTAAAGGTAATGTAATTCCTTGACTCTGATTATCTAAGTTCCTGTGCAATCTTAAAAATGAGTTGTAAAGAATGTGCAGTTTAATTTATCCCGATCCTGTAATTTTTCTTCTTTTCAGCCCTATCAAAAAAATCAAAGTTGCCATGTTAAAAGCTGGATGAGAGTTTCTAAATCTTTTAGAAATGAGATTTCTGAGACATAGTGACAGCTCCCTCAGCTGCTTTCTTTAGAGACAGTGTAAAAAGATTTTTTAGGACCTGAATGGAAAGGTTTGTTTGGGTTTTTTATTTAACAGAAGCAGCAGAAAAAGAATAATGACATATTTCTTGACTGGGTTCTCAACAAACTGACTGTGCACTTATGGTCAGTACAAGCATTGCCATTGATTTTAATGGAAACAACATCTTTGCACTACCTATCTGATGAAGAGCTATAACTCTTGTGATGTGAATTATGAATATCTGCAAGACTTTTAGATGGTCCATTGCTGCACTTGGTCAAATGTCCTGGTAGTGATGATTTGGATATAATCAGGAGAACTTGAATTGACTCTAACTGCCTCTTAAATACATTCAGATTTAAAAAAAAAATAATTGTATCCAGTATACTGGTTTGGCCTTGTCTAATTAAAAGTCATAAAGTGTGGAATGCATTTCCTATCGCACTGCAAAAGTAGTGAAGGACATGGGGGTGCATTGTTTGCTCTCCCTCATGCTGTACATGGAGCATGGGTAGAATTAGTGATCTGGACACAAGACTGTGTATATAACATTTTCCTCACTGTGCTTGGAAAAGTCACTCAAGTACTTTGTGCTCAGAAGCTTGTGACAAAAGGTGAGCTGTACAAGAACTTGAATCTAGGAGAAGGTCTTTAAACCACAGCTGGTGTAAGATACAATTGTTGGCTCTGCTCTCTCTGATAAGAGCAGATTGTATCAAAGATGCAGTGGTGCTCTTCTAAGAACTGAGGTAGAGAGGATAGTCCTTGCTAACTGGAGAGGAAGAGAAAGGCTGCAGCCTCCACTGATTATAAATCAGTCCAGGCTTTTTCAGCGAAGTATTAATTAGGAATATAGAAATCCTGCCCCAACAGAGCAGTTCCAATAGCATGTTAATAGTGTCTCTGCACATTCGTACAGAGCTTTGAAAATAGCCTTTAAAATTCTGCACACTGTCTATTAAACGAAGTCTGATTCTTTTCTCATTCATCACAATTTTATACTGGGGTTGATCTATTGATTTCAGTTATGTTGTGTCAGGCTGCCATTTCTCCAAGTGAATAATTTGGCTCTGTGCATAGGTTAAGTGAGAAAAGAGGTTCCTTCTATTATCCCCACCCATGAATGGCTCATTCATCTAACCCTTAATCTCTCTGGACCAGCAACATTTGGATAATAACAGGCTGCCTCCAGGGAATGATCTGAACTGTAAGCAGTTAATATATTCTCAGTACATTGGAGATTGAAAAACTGTTGTATGAGGGTTTAATATAATAATTCTACAACTAACTCACCTGGCAAAGGCAGCATTTTTTCTACACGAATAACATTTAATACTGCTTGCTTCTTTTTCTCTTGATAGCCCTGTCATATGTTTCTGTCTGTCTTCCCTCAGGTTATCGCTACATCACTTGCCAGATTCAAAATTGTTCTGATAAGACAATGACAGTCCCATTTGCTGGTAGTACTGATCGGGATTCCCTGACTGTGCAGGATGACTACATATTTCTGCAGGTACTTTCACTTTCGGGAGACATATCTTATTCTTGAATCAAAATAATTTTAAATAGTGCAGCAACACTGTAAGGAGCAGGGAGAAACCTGTTCCAGAGTATGAATGATGATTTATGAATTTTTATGGGGAACAAAGCATTCTTTTATCATTTAAAAAAAAAAAAAAAGAAAAAAAAAAGGCATCTTTAGTTTGTGCAACCAGTTGCCCTTTAACTATATGAAAATTTCCAAGCAGATTGTATGGTTCAAAGTTACTTTCTATAAATACACTTGTGTGTTAAGCAAAATGCAACCCTTTTGTTCTTATGCTTACAATATCTTCTGGTTCCTGATAAAAGCATCTGAGGACAACCACTGACAGACTGATTACACAGCTTCTTCATAAGGATTCTCCTCTGAAGAGGTTTTACCAGGAAAGAACTTACATGGCTGTGCTTAGGAAGCAAAAGAGTGGAATAGTCATAGCTGGGATCTTGGAGCAAACTAGTATAGAATCGTAGAATGATTTAGGTTGGAAAAGACCCTTAAGAATGAGTCCAACCATAAACCTAACACTGCCAAGTCCACCACTAAACCATGGCCCTAAATGCCATGTCTACAACTCATGGTGGTCCAAATTACATTGGGGTTATTTCATTCCCAAACTACAGAAATATGGGCTGGAACTTTGTCAGGCTTATGGCACCAGTACAGCTCAGGCACACTTGAAAACTTTGTTTTATGTGCTTGGCACGGGTTGTGATTTGAATCTATCAAAGCTGCAAACTTCTCAAAAAACTGTTATGTCCTCCTTGTTTTGTTAGATTTTACTGGGGAAGTTGCTTGTGCTTTCCTCAGTGGTTGGCTATCATTTTCCCCTTAGTTCGATATGATTTGTTTGCTGCAAGGCTTGTCTATTCATTGACTTTTGCAGGAAAGCAGTATTGTGACAATGGATATGTCTCCCCACCACTGCCTCAGTGTGCGTCAGAATGGCTTCCTTGCAGCTTTCCCTCCTTGGGGATCTTCCACAAAGATCTGTAAATTAGTAGGGACACAAAGGATCTGTCCTCCTCTTGTTTGGCGCAGTGGTTTCAAAAACCTGCATGGCTTAGAACAATTAGCACTATAAGGAAATGGAAAAAATGGCTTCGGGAAAGAATTTTTGGATTAAAGTAGGCATTTTTCATATCAGATCTAGCACTCGTAGCACTCATTTTGCTCAAAGGTATTATTATCTGTGCCCCCCAGGCACACTCTTAAAATCCATTCCATGGTGTGTAGACAGAGAGAACTGTTTCTCACCATGTGAACTTACAGACTGCTGTGCTCAGCAAAACACTGGCTTCTTCCTCATCAAGCATTTTGTTTTGCTGAATGCCTTGTACAACTGCATCTTTAGCTGTTATTCCATCTCATGCCAGGCATAAGCAGACACAAAATGGAAGTGCAATGTGGAAATGTACATGTAAGTAACAGACAGTTGCTACAATCAAAAGGATGCCATTGGTAATGTGATCTCTGTAGATTTGACACATGCCAGTGCCAGTAGATGAGATGTTCATGTGTTCTACATAAAGGAGAAACATCTCCAGTCTTTTCCTTTCACACTTAATTGTACTAAACCACAGTATGTAATGTAAATTTTATTGCTAAATTGGTTTGCAGTTAGCCAATTACTGTAAACCCAGTTACTAGACGTTAGAAGATAACTGGGATCCTGCAGTCACATCTGAAGTGCAGCCACCCCAGAGGTGTGATGCAGTATTTGCCTGTTCCAGTGAAACCTCACAGCAGCTGTACATGTGAGAAACAGCATGCTTTTGAAACCATGTGGAAATTCTTTTATCGTGACTCTAAAATATTGCTGTATGAGTTACACTTAGACAGGGACTCCTCGTGATATCCCCAGCATTGCCTGCTAGAGAGAGGATGGGGCGGAATCATCTGTGCAAAAGGAGAGGAGGGTTTGAGGCTGTCTTCCTGCCTCTGGCATTGCTCACATGCCCTGAACTGTGCAAATGTAAATCGGAGCATTACAGGTCTGCACTGCTAAACCTGTCCCAAATCTGAGATTTTTTACCATCTTCGCGGATGATCTCAACCCCATTTCTTTAGTATGTCCACAAAGATCAGAAACTGTATCCACAAAGATCAGAAACTTTCTAGTATTCCTTTTTTTTCCAGTTTGCAATGACAGTCAGACAGTTTCAGAGTGATTTTAGTAGGAGATTAAAGTTTCAACACTGTTTTTAAGCATAGACTAACCTTTAATCTCAGTGGGTGCTTCCACTCCAATTCTCTTCTGCCCTGCATCATCTCCAGTCATTTAAAATGAGTGACATTAAAAAAAAAATGCATTTAAAAGAAGACTATGAAAAGATAGGTAAGACTGCCACTTAACACTAGTTAAACAAATGGTGAGGCTTTTGGTTTGATCCATCATCATTTAACAAATGACATTCCTGAAGGGCATCACATTTGAAATGGGTTTAAAGAAAGAGTGAAAATGCTTACAGTATTAAATGCTTTGGAATACTTTGTTATCTTTAAAATATCCAGGCAGGTGGACCTGCTGTCATACATCAATTCTGTTTTTACCAAGCCACATCAAGTTTGTATGCTTCAGGATAGGCTGTCTTGCAAATCAGGTTTCCTTTTTAAACATAAAAGTTGAGGAGAAAAACAGTCAAATTGGGGTAGGATTTTAAATGGATTTCCTAAGTTAAAGAAAGAAGATGAGTCTTTTTGTGCTTCTGTTTCACAATCTGATTTGTCATGGGTAACCAGAGAAAAATTTTTGACATTTCATTTAATTCCTTCCTTTTTTTTTTTGACCAATGCGTTTCTTCAAAGCAGCCAACCTTTATAAGCTTAGTGAAAATTACTAAGTAGCCATTACATAGCTGATCTTCTGGGCAGGGGAAATGTGAAAAAAAGAGTGAAATATTGTTTACCAAAGGCTAAAATCTTCACTGATATCATCTAATGGTGCTCAAGTGGCTAAGTTGGAAATATGCTGATTTATATACCAGCACAGATTTTGATGTTATATTTCTGATTAGAAAAACCATGGAAGGTTGTTAATTGAGAATTTTCAGCTACGTTTTTTTAGAATATTCTTTTTGGTGCTTTGGAAAAATATTTGCCTTGTGGGGGCTTTTTTGTGGGCGTTGTGGGGTTTCTTTGTGAGTGATAGTCATACAGCAGTGTTCCTTTCAATAACTGTTTCTCTTGGCTTTCTTTAGTGAAAATCTTCAAAAGCACCAAGTATTTTATGTAAAACCTAATCTGTCTTCAGTTTCATACATGCAAGTCATTTAAATGCATGTTTTACCTCTCTATTTAAGCATATAATTGTGTCTTCAGAACATATCACTGAAATTAAAACTGACCAACCAATGGATTTAAAATTGCATCCTTATCTTCCACATGGCATGGTAGCATCTTCACTGGGAAATGTTTTATCCTGTATAGAAAATATTAGTCAGATATAGTAAATGTTTTACATAATGTTAGCATGATTTATTCAATGTTTTGTGCTCTACTTTGAAGTGTGCTGTGTAGTACTTCTTGCCCTTGGGGTACCTGGTGTTCATGACCAGTGTACCTCCTCGCTACCTCTCACCTAAAGGCTGCTGCTGCCCCAACTTCTACAACAGGGCAAAGATGTGGGAGGCCACTGGGTACAAAGATATTAGTAAGGACTGAGGACAGTGAGATGCTGAAGTCTCAGGTATCACCCAAAACTGCTGAAATGGCAAAAGAAGGAAGTAAATCATTTTTGTCTTCCTGAAGAGAAGAACAGTTTACTGTGCAGATTATTTGCATGCAATAAAAGTAATACCTATGTATTTTAGTTGCAGGTTAAAAGAAAAACTTCCATCTCAGGTTCTTTAGGTTTAGCATAAACCATCACAGGGTTCTGTTTTTCCTTTGTACAGACAACATCAGCAAATCGGACCAGGTATTACGTGTCTTACCGTCGAAATGGCTTTGTACAAATGAAGTTGCCAAAATATGCGTTGCCAAAAGTAAGTATAAATGTTTTTCTTTCTCTTTTTGCATTTGTCATCTTCTCTTTCTACCTAAATTGGTTTTAGTGTTCTCTTTTTTGAACCTCATTTATCTGGGACCACAATTTCTGCTTGTAAGGATTTCTGAATCCCATTTGTGGTATATTCATAACCTGCTATTTTTATTTCGATTCTATTAATGTAGTATTAATCCGTAGAGGACAAGAACATACAGTAGCTTGTTTGTCATCAGTTACTGCAATAGTTTTTGAGCTTTGCTTCCATGATGCAGTGCTACACACACAATGACAATGTAATGGTGTAGAGCAAGGGTTCTTTCAAGAACCAATTACAGTGTAATTCCACATGGTGTTTTCTGGTATAAGCATGAATAGTAATATAAGAGAATTTTGCCACTTGATGGTGCTCTATTTCACTAAAGAATCCCCATATGGACTTTAATTGCTTAATGAAATTGCAAGACTTGTTGAGAGGTTCTTTCAGTCTAGCATAACTTCCTAGTGACAGGGTTTCTGTATTTGCATAGTAAATCAACACTTAAGCACAGACAGATATTTAAATATGGTCTGACTGATGCAGTTGAATTTTTTGTGCTGCATACACTGTATTTCCTAACTTTACACTTAGAAGGTAGAAGCCTTCTGCAGTCCTGAAGAAAAATTACTTGGAATTTTTAAAGACCCAGCTGGATAAAACCCTCAGTAACCAGCTCTGGCCTCACAGCTCACCCTGCTACCAGCAGGAGGCTGATCTGGAGGTCTTGCTTTTTCATGTGATTCTGTGTGACTCTGTCACTTACTCAGAAGAGAACTAAGAAATGTTTTCTTTGCATGCTTTGAATTGCACAGGTTTAATTCATTGCTCATCTAGTGAAGGACAGTAGAGTACAATGTATTTCCTTCTGCTGCTATTGTTTTAAACAAAAGAATGTGCTTAATATCAGTTTTTCATCTTGGATTTTATTTCTATGTCATTGTATATGGTGGGTTGAAGACTTCTGGTTTTAAATGTACAACATATTAACAGAATCTCAAATCAAATCCCCAGATACTAGTTGAACAAGAATCTGAAACCTGGATATGCTTCTAGTAGCGCTATAGAAATGGCTATCATCTATTTATCTCTCTATCTGTGCTGTCAAGAAATATATACCCAAGGACTGATATACAGATCAATCCTTCCAGAAAATTATTTCAGTGGTTTTGAGGCCTTCAAAGTAGCCTTTATGGTTTCTTGGGGGAAATTGTAATTAGCAAAACAGCAGGAGAATACCCAGTTTTAAATATTAAAGAATAAAAAATGAGGACACCCCAAGGGACTACAGCCCATGAATCCCCATGCTGGGGCCAAAGAAAACAAGTAAGGAGCAAAGCAGGAAAGCAAAGAGCAAACAAGGAGCTTCAGACATATTCAAAAAGTGTCAGTCAAAGCTCCCTGGTATTTCTGTCAGTTGTAGTCTGGATTATTTGAAATAGTGCAGCATGCTGGATTCTTTGTCTTGGAAAATATGTTTCTTGTTTATTTGGGTTTTTTTTGTGTTTTTTTTTTTTTTTTACTTGATAGGCAGATTACTCCAGGCTTGATGGAATAGATAAATTAGAAGTTAATGGTTTCATTTTGCATAGAGTCAGTAGCTACCTAGGAACAGGGTGACTATGTCATTTGGAAAGGGAGGTTTTTGTGCTCCTTCTGGTTCAGGCAATACTCGATGAGTGGAACAAAGTAAATGTTATCTCTTCAGCATTTTGACAGTGACTCCAGGAGAAGTTTCTTTGCTATCTGCGCACAACGAAGTTGAAAATTTCACCAAGAGGGCCATGAAGCCAGACATCCATTAGAACAGTGGTGAATGTGAAAAATATTGACCTTTTCTGAAAAAGATATGTTTTTTTAAAGTGATTTGGTACCTTCACATTGCAGGAAATGTTAGATACTGAAGTAAATAAGAACACAGTTCTAAAATGTTTCATCATGCTGTGTTCCAGTGAGAGTTGTTCAAATACAGTAGAAAGGGATCTTCCAGTCCTATTTTAAAAGAATGGAAAAGACTCATGTGAAGCAAATTACTGATGAAATTTTGTAAAGAAGCAGGATATCAACAAAGACGCTGGCACATTAGAAGTACATCCAGATTATGTGGCTGTGGAGTTGCTTCTTTTATGGTGGTAGGAGATAAACAGAATGGATGAATTTACAAAGGACCTTTTTTTTAAGATTGATTAAAAACAGAGCTTTTGAAAGATCTGAATTTCAGAGGGTTTTAAGTATTAGATTCTGCCTAACCAGGAGATGAAGCATGACTGTAATAGGCTATATTTCATTTTCGTCAAAAGAATGGAATTAAATGTCAAAAAAATCTCTTTCCAAGTGGTCTCTGTAAAGTGCTTCACGGCAAGGGACAGAATCTTTGGGCAGTGATTGCATACAGGGAAGGAAAACTGTAGCCAAGCCAGAAGATACTACAGACTGATCAAGGATGTGTGTAACAACATTAAGAGAGCTGTGCTGGAATACCAGCCTCCAACCTGAGGGAGCAGGGCTGGGCTCTTCTGATATTATTCTTTCACTGCACAGATGTGTTTCACAGTGATTTTACATATGGAGATAGAATGAGCATTTTCAGATTGAGTAGTTAGAAAATGTTACTGATGTCTCATTTTCCTTTCGATATGAAGAGGTTAAAAATCTGCAAAAAAAAATTATTCAGTTGCTTTATATAGTTTTAATTTGCGTTTGTGTTTGTATTTGACCAAATGTACCCCCAAAGGAAAACCTAGAGAAGGATAGTTTGTCTTTGGACACATCTACAGTGCTTCGTACTTGTGAATGAAAGGCTGCTAAAAGCAGCTTCCATCCAAGCTCTGCTTGTTTCTAGGCTCCAACTCCACAGTGCCACTGAGATCACCTTTTTGTAACACGTTGTAGCTCTGTACATGTACAGAGAGAGCAGAGCCATAGGGGGATATCTAAGGAGCAAGATTCAGATAATTTTTTTAAGCTTTTTTCTGTGCCATTGATAGATTTATGTATTTTTTTTAATAGCATATTACTGACATTGCATGGAATCACACAGCTGTCTCCTGCATTTGACAGGAGTCAAAGTGCTGGCTGCTCTCAGGTAGGGTGGTGGCAAAGGCTAGTAAGACCAAATTAAAGGTTGCCTCTATGCTCCCCAAAACAGAAGAGGAATTTTCACTCTGTTCTTTTAAAAATGAATTGGTTTTTACTTTTTTACTATATTCCATTTTACCAAGATTGCTTGTTCTGTGCTGCTAAAACTAGTTCAGAAGTTAGTAACTTGTAGGAAGGCAATACCAAAATCAAGCCAAGAGCAACAGGATTGTGTCTGTGTGTCAGGTTGGCTGGTTAGGCATGCAGGAGTGTTCCAGTGGGACCCAGGAATCCTCTTTGGGCTATTTTGATCCTGGAGCAGTGGTTCAGCTGCCACTGCAGGAAGAGCAAGTGTGCCCAGGGGCACAAACTGAAGCCCCATCCAGTGTCAGCACACTTGCATTGTATAAACATTCCTCCAGATGTCACTGCCCTTGCCTTGAGAAGTGCAGTGTGGAGAGAGTGGAGTACATTGGTTCTGGTCCTTATTCACGATTTTGAGTCATATGCCAATGTGTGTAACAATAAAACTGGGAACTAGTTCATATCGGGAGTTTAAGCAAAAAAAAATTGTTAACAAAATTCCTGACCAAACCAAGGAATCTGCTACAAATTGTGGCAGTTTTGCTATTGCAGTTTGGGAGAACTGAATTATTCTGAGTTCCCCTCCCACGTATGTTAAATAAACTCCAATGATAGTGATCTCCTTTCATGAACTGATAGAAGGCACTGATTGATTCTGCATTTGTTCATGCCAGCTACAAAATCTTAATGATGCGAGAGCTCTATTGTCTGTTGTATTCAGAAAGTTTAGTTTTGAAAAGATATGGTGTGGAAAAAACTTCTTTCGTCTATTTAATCTCAGTATGTATTTTCAATCTTGGGAAATAGGCGATAATGTAAAATTTTTCAGGTAACCAAGATAAAAGGAATTATAGGTGGGCAACAAATAAAAATAAAAGCAGAAAAAAATCCTATTGCCTTAGAAACAGGTTAAAGTCTGTAATTTATTCATGGTAATATGAATCTCCCATACATGCCTTTTATCAGATCCATCTATTCTTTTTGATTATCACCTGGTCACCTTAAAACAGGCCCACCTCTTCCTTGCCTCAGTCTGAGATATACATCACTACTTTAACCATAGGCTTACTTCCATTTTTCTGTATCATTCAACAAGATGTAAGACTATCCTTAAATGGGTCCATTCCCTAACAGCAGAAATGGTAGAAGAAGATTCCTGCAGTCCTTTTGCCAGTGAAGTTCCCTTGAGCATTTGGCTGCGTGATGGCTGGATTGCAAACTGTTGAGTCTATGACAGTGCATTTAGCAAGGCTTTTAGTCTCTCAATAATTGTTTTTCCACGTGGGAAGCTCCTTCACTACTTCTGCCACTTACCACCCTGGGAGGCTTTGGCTGAGGTTGTTCCCGTGTGCCAGGCAGAAGAGCAGTTTGCAGCTGCAGCAGGACTACTTTTCCATTCTTGTGAAAGTCCATTGGAATGGCTGTTGAACAAAGAATGAAGGAGAACAAAGTAGAAATGCAGGTGGCAGTGGCATTTGATGCAGGAGAAGTATTCCTTCCCCAGGCAGTGTCATGGCAGTAGCCAGTGAACCTGAGCTGTAGCAGCTGTCTAGCTCCCTGGTTTTACAAATCCATCCAAAGTGGATTCAAGGAACTGTTATTTTTTTCACAGTGCAACTTTATATTGATTTCTCTCCTTTTCCTGTTTTACTCAGCCAGACAAGGAAGATTAGGAGGATTATCTTTGCGATATGTGCCATCCGGTTACCTTGATTGTGCTTGAGAGATTACAGGGGCATAAATGTGGTACATCTGGAGGTCAAGGCTGAAACTACACATCCTTGAGTGCTTACATCTGTTGC